GAACAAATGGTGGAAATAAAAATCGTGTATTTGGACGAGTAGCAGGGTAGAATTCAGGTAAACCAGGTCACTGGGGAATGCTGGTGAAGCTGGAGAGGAGGCATGATTTCACAGAGTAAGTGCTGAGAGAGAGACCCGAGATTGCTTAGACTGCCCTACTTTTTGAGACATGGGAAAAACAGCTACACAAGTTCAGCCATTGGCTTTACTTCTCCGGTGTCTGTGGATGGCCAGGACTGTACATTTCCCTCATCTGTACCAGGTAGCACCACCTAGAAAGGTAACAGCAATGCCATGAGGATTTAATAGAGAAACTGAGGCACAGAAGACATCAAGTACTTTGCCCAGGTTGCACAGCTGTTAAGAAAGAGAAACCCTAATCAGATTGAGGCCTCATGATTCCCAGACTGGCTCCAAATGCGCTGACTCACCCTGGGAGTCACTTGAGTGAGTCCTGGCAGTGTGTCCACAGAATGGTTTCTGTCCCTGTTGGATCTGTAGCTCACATGTGCCTCCTTGCTCTTCTCAGTCTCTGGAGTTCCAGGAAAGGGCTGGCGATATTTCAGTCGGTTAAGCTCCTTTCCATCTGCCCCCATGTGCTGCCCTCCCCGTGCTCCAGCCCTATTTGGGATACAGGCCAGCAGTATGGGAAATGGCAGTTCTTCCCAGCAAACTGCCCCTTTCCTTGTTCCCTTCTCTGACCGCCACTTCCTAAAAACACCTGGGAAAAAAAATCTGTCATCTCACCAGAGAGGGCTCCTTCTCCTGGTAGCATCTTGAAATCAGATCAAGGTGCCCTCAGGGTGCCTCAGGTTAAATTCCAGGGCACCTATCCTCTGATGCTGGCTTTGCAGTCTCTGCACCTCCCCTTCATGCTGTGCAGGCGTCCAAGTGCATTGGCATTCTCCTCCTTCCTCCCACAGCACAGACCTTGTTTTGTTGTTTTAATCGTTTTTCCTTCTGCGACTGTGGGATATTTACCTTTGTAAATTTATGTGACCATTTCATCTCAGGGTTGTATGTGTGGTGTGTTTTTGAATGTACTTTCTGCAGTCAAGGTTTTTGGGGGATAGTTTCTTGTTTATTGGCCCAGAATTGATAATAAGGATCAAGAATTTTGAAGACTTTTAAGGAGAGAAGAGGAGGGGTGAGGAGGACATAAGGGAGCAGGAAGGTTGTGTAGGGGAAGAATAGAGGAGAGCAAAATAAGAGATACCATCAAAGAGGGAGACAGTATAGGTTTAAAATGAAATCAGGCACTAGGGAAATGTCCAGAGATCTACAAGGATGATACCAACTAACCATCTAAGCAACAGTGGAGAGGCTACCTTAAATGCCCTCCCCTGATAATGAGATTGATGACTAACTTATATACCATCCGAGAGCCTTCATCCAGCAGCTATGGAAGTAGAAGCAGACACCCACAGCTAAACACTGAACTGAACTGGAATCCAGTTGCAGAGGAGGAGGAGTGATGAGCAGAAACAGCTGACCTGAACAAGAGGGAGCTCTTGATCACTGGGAAACTAGCATGGAACTGATCCAGACCCCATAAATGTGGGTGTCAGTAAGGAGGTCTCGGAAATCTATGGGACCTCTTGTAGTAGATCAGTACTTATCCCTAGCGTAGGAATGGACTTAGGGAGCCCATTTCACATAGAGGGATACTCCCTCAGCCTAGACACATGGGGGAGGGCCTAGGCCCTATCCCAAAGGATATGACAGACCCTGAAGACCCTCCCCCCATGGAAGGCCTCACCCTCACTGGGGAGCAGAAATGGTTTGGGATAGGTAGGGTATTTGGGGGGGGGGCAGGGAAGGAGGGGAGGGAGAGGGAACTGGGATTGACATGTAAAACAATCTTGTTTCTAATTTAAATTAAAAAAATTTAAAAGAAGAATTTTGAGGACTTTTGTCCTAGTGAGTAGGTAGATATAGCAAATGCTTGCCTACCTTCCCCTCCACTTCCTGATGTCCTACCCAGCTGAGTGAGTTTGTAGAATTTGGGAGGGGCTTGGGTTCCAGAGTGAAGTTGCTTGGGCTGTTTAGGTTCCATCACTGACAAGTTAGCTTTCCTTGAACACAGTTTGTGGTCTCTAGCCTCAAGCTTCCATCACCTTGATGAGAACAACCCTGTCTTGGGGTTGGGAGTTTCAAATGAGCTAAAGCAAGTGAAAGCCTGTGCATGGCACTTATGTGCGGCTCACTGAGTCTTGCCTAGTTCCACAATTAGGTAGTCTTACATGCTTCTTTTAAAAAGCAAACCCCCTCCTCCTTTTTTTTTTTTCCATTTCAAATTGTGGTTTTCAAGTGTTCCTTAAGGCATATCATTTCTGGGTATGTGGATTGGGATGGTAATGGCAGAGAGCACCTGGATGGTCTTGGAGGAGTACCTGTGACTTAAAAATAAGGCCACCTGCTAACTTTTTTAGTTCCATAGAAACCAGGGCAAGATGAAGACTGAGACTTGAAGCAGAGGTAGCAAGATTATAGGGTATGGATACTAACATCAGTCACTGTCCTCAGACTGCAGCTCAAAGTCAGTATGATATCATGGCTCTCTGAGCTGTGAAGTCTAATGATAGCTATCTCTGGCCACATAGGCTCTAATATTGTGGTCATACGAGGACTGCAGGAATCCCATTCAGACTCCCTGAGTCCCTGTCCCATGTGTACTCCATGTGTTTGTGTACATTTCTTAGCCCACGCTGTCACATCTGGCAGACAGCTGTTATCACATGTGGTGATGGGTGTCCATCAGTGGCATAGAGTAGATTGATAGGGCACCTTGGGAATCCAGAGTCTAAGGGCTGTAGGGAAGTGCAGGGCAGCCAGCATGACAGATGGGACTTTACACGTTCCTCTCCCCATGGAAATTGCTATTCTGGGCTAATAACATGCTAACATACAATTATGGGTCTAGTTAGTAGCAATGATTGTATACTTACAAGTCACTTAGATGGGAAATGTTGCATATATTTTATTACAGTTTTTTTAATAATGTTATATAGAGGGGCCATTGTATTCTTTATATGCATAGTGTATGTGTGTACACATGGGTGTGAGAGGGAGAATGGGGTACACATGCCTATTTTCAAATACAGAAGCCAGATGAGGATGTCAGGTATATGTCTTTATCTCCACTCTGTCTTATTGCCCTGGGACACTGAGCCTAGGCTTTCCTTTTTAGCTATACTTGGTAACTAGCAAGCTCCAGAGACCCCTCAATCTGAATTCCACACAGCACTGGGGTTGTTATTGCTTGTGAGCATGCCTGGCTTTTTTACATGGGTTCTAGGGATGTCCTTATGCTACCCAGCCATCTCCGCAGGCCCTGCTGTATTCTTGAAATGGGTGGGTTGTAGAGAACATGAATTCTGTTCCTAGGAAGAATTAGGAAACCCCTTAAAATATATAAGATCATCTTAATAATAGTTTCTTATCTGTCATTAGCATAGCAGAATTTTCACTTACATTGTTATGCTTAAACTATTTAATATTTTAACAGTAGATAAAGATTGCATTTCTTTTATTACCTTTTTCTCTTACTTTCAAAACTTTATTTTGAACAAGTTTCTAATTTATGGAGATATTTTAAGACTAGTCCAGCAAATTCATATTGTCAACCTTTCACCTCTGCCTCCTTGCTTCCCCCTAGGCAGAAATGGTGGTTTGCTTTATTGTTTCATCTTTCTGTTTGGTTTATATCTCTCTATATTTTAAACACCTCTATGTTTGTTCTTTCTTGGTCTATTACAGTCTGAAGCCTTTGCCTCTCCCATCATGTACTGAGACCATGCTTAATTTCTTTGATAGATTCATGTTTTTCATATTCTGTGGTTTTGAGGTTTTTTTTTTCTTCCTGGCACAGCCTATTAAATGGGTGCTAGACCGCCCTGGGCTTTTTCCTCCTGCTCCTTCTCCTCCTCCTTCTCCTCCTCCTCCTCCTCTCCTCTTCCTCCTCCTCCTCCTCCTTTGTCTTATTTTTCCTTTTTTTTTTTCTTTACTAGCTTGGAATATTTTACCACCTTTTAGCTTAGAAATCTCATCCTTTAAACACACACACAGACACACACAGACACACACACACACACAGACACAGACACACACACACACACACACACACACACACACACCCCTCTTGTGGTTTTTAACATCCAAGAGTTCTTTCTGATCTTTGACAGATATTTTAAAATAAAAATAGCGTTTTCATGGGTGAAAACTCTTCTCTCCCTGGGGGATATCATTTGTTGTTTTAACTTGGTTCTGTTCATCCATTGTCTGTCTACTCTGAGCTTTGTCTGTTTCTTTGGTCTGTGCCACTTCTGCTGAAGATGCTCTTGAACTGTCTGTGATTCTAGAATCTGTTTGAGATTAAGAGGGAACTGCTAAAAGGCCTTTGTGGACCCAAGTGCTGCCTGAGGGCTTCCCTGGGAGCTCGGGGTGCCAAGACAGCCATATGACTGGGAATGGAAAGGCAGCTGTAGGGCTCCTCATTCTACCTTGGAATTTTATCCTGAGTTTGCCTCCCATGCCTGTGTTCCTGTCTGGAGATCCCATCCATTTTCGTGGAGAATCAACCTGGCTGAGTGGGAGAAAGGGAGGGTTTGTGAACTGGAGTCGGGCTTCCCCACACAACTATTTACCCAGCCCTGCTTTCAGCACCTTCCACCCCCTCCCTCCTCTGGGCTTCCCCTCACAGGATGCTGCAGGTGGGCATCCCCACTCCGCCCTGTGGCCCTCTCCAAGCCTCTCAGCCTTTCAGCTCTTCGTCCATCTCCCTGCCATTATAGAGTCATATTCTTTCATAGTCATCAACCACCACCTCACTGGTTTGGGGAGGAAATGGAGGTAGACGTGGGCTTCAAATCTGCTGTGTGGAAATGTCTTCTCAGCACAGGTGGTGTCAGATGGTGTGGAGGGGACACTTGTCACAATGGCTTAGCTCTTGCTAGTATTGCTGCAGCTCCTCTGATCCACGCCTTTCTGTCCTCTTGCAGAAGTGGACTAGTGTGAGCAACCCTCTCTTCCTCCCGCTGATTCCACCACAGTCACAAGGCTTCACCGCCATCGTCCTCACCTATGACCGTGTGGAGAGCCTCTTCCGGGTCATCACCGAGGTGTCCAAGGTGCCCAGTCTGTCCAAGCTTCTGGTGGTGTGGAACAATCAGAATAAAAATCCCCCAGAAGGTAAGGAGAATGAAGAGGTACAGTGCTCGGGAGAGGCCCATTTAGGGCTTTCATGCACCCCTTAGTTGCACCGATTTGGGGGGACACATGCTCCCATCCTCTGCCAACAACACTGGCAGGCTCAGGCAACCTGACCCTGCTGTTCTGAGTCATCTCACCCGTAGGATTCTAGGGTGGCCCAGTGAACTCTGCGCCCTGGCATGCTCTGAGCCACAAGTGTTTGAGAGCTGAGGAGTCAAGGGGATCAAAGGCTATCCGCCTTGGGAAAACAGGCCTCAGCTTCCCTCTGGCATCCCAGCCGATTTGTTTACATGAAAACTCAGTTTAAAGGGCATTAGTTTTCTGCTCCCTTATCTCTGTTCTGATATTGAGCCCTCCTTCAACAAAACAAAGCAAAACAAAAAGATAGCCCCTGTTCTGGTTGGGAGGTCAGCTGCCCAACCCTTGTAGCCTTGCAGCTAAATGGATGGTGAGAATGGATTCTCACAGAAACTGGCCAGTTGCCCCATCACTTTGTCCCCTGCCTTCCTTGGCCATCCCTGTCATCTGTTGCAGCAGCTAGGGTTGAGGCCTGTTTGATTAATTGGATTTGTTTTTAATTCGGGACGCACAAGAGTTCGTCCCACCTGCATTTAGCTTCTCATTCAGCCTGTCTATTACTGACCCTAATCCCAGAACTTCAAAGCTCCTGCCATTTAGAGCCTATTAAAGCCAGGAAGTTTCTGATGGATTAGAGCAAGGAATGAGTTTGAAGTTTGTAATGTGCACCACTGTCACCGATAAGGTCTAGTTTATTGCCTGACAGTAGTATCTGTGCTTTTTATGGCTGGTCCCTTTAATTGGTTACACTGAAGTCACGATGGCTAGCCCTGGAAACCACCAGTGGTAGATCTAGAGTCCAGGCTGGGAGACAGCCTTATTTCTCTCTCTGAGGCAACTCAGAATTTACTGAAGAAAGTTCATTAGTGTCTCCCAACATGTTTTTAAAAAATGCACTTGGTAGTGTGTTCAGTCTCTGAAAGAGTCATATGCTCTGTTTAGGTTTGAGGAGCCACAATTTGGGTAAAATAGCTTCTTAATTTTTTAAACCTCATTTATTGTATGTGTTATGATGATGTATGTGTATGCAGGTACATATGTGCCACAGCACTCATGTAGAGTTCCGAGGACAACTTGTGTGTGTCTGTGTGTGTGTGTGTGTGTGTGTGTGTGTGTGTCTGTCTGTCTGTCTGTCTGTCTGTCTGTCTGTCTATATGCCATGGCATGTGTGTGAAGGTCAGAGCACAACTGGCAAGACTGTGACCTTCTACCATGTAGAAGTCTAGAAGATCAAGCTCAAATGGTTAGGCTATGTGGAAAGCACCTTTACTGGCTGGCTGTCTCACCAGCTCACATACCATTTCACACGGGTTACTGGGATCAAACTCAGGTGGTCATATTGTTCAAAAAGGGCCTTGACTTGATGAATCATCTCCCTGGCCCAGTAAATAGCTCTTTTAAACAAAAGCCCTATGTGATGTCCCAAAGCATAGCTGCTTTTTGATTATCTTTTTCCATTGTTACTATAACATGACCAGTTTTCAGAGTGTATGTTTTGTCTGGTTGATTCTTAATAAGAAAGGAACACTAGATATTGTCGAGCACATCTAAATTCCTATCCTCAGTGATGATAATGAAGATGATGGTGATGATGGTGGTGATGGTGATGGAGAAAAAAGGGTTTATGGGGTAAAAAGGTATTGATATAATCTAAGATGGAGGGACAAGGTTGACTAGGGAAGGAAACATAAAAGAAAATTTAAAATATGAGGGCAGGAATTAGAGAGAACATCTTTGGTACTCCTGGCTTTGTGAATGTAGCTGCCTTTTCCCAAAGAAGTGAACTGGAGATCCAGGTCCTGCATTGCTAATTGGCCCCTTCACTTACAGAGGGTGATCCTGCTTTAAGAAGGAAGACACCCCTTTCACTCTGCATCCATATGCATGTATTTGCTCCTGTCTCTAAGGCTACCATCTTAGAGGATGGCTGCATCCTTCAGTCCTAACCACAAGGCCAAGTACAGGCTCTGTGGCTGGTGATAGAGATGCTAGTGACTGATTGGATCTTTCCAGTGGCCAAATATGGACTGAGCTATCTATCACTCTGTGCCCCATAAGCACACACAGTTGTCATCTGTCAGTCAAAAACAAAATAGAACATAAAGCCTGCCAAAGAGGCTTCTCCTTGTGGCCACTTTGATGAGCTGTGAGTCTGAGTCACTTCTCTGAGGGCAGTTATGAAAGAAAGGCTGTTTGCTTCCAGTCTCTGCACTGCGAGATGAAAAGCAAAGCGCAGCCCTGGGTAGTCCTGTTAATTTTTGGTATACCTTACTAAAATACAGTGGTTAATATTATGACCATAGTTTAGTTTAGGTTTTGAATACTTTGGCTCTAAGGAGGAAAGAGCCTGATGAGTCCTAGGTTGTGGCGTGTGTCAGCTGGGCTGGCTGTTTTTGTGGATAGTTTTAGGTCAGGGCTCTGGCTTTGACAGTTTGGTTGTTCAGGGAGAACATGGCTGTGTCTCATCTCCTGTGGGGTGTTTGTTCAGTTGATAAGTGGGGCTGTCAGCTGTGGTCTTTGTGTCAGTGCAGGCATCAGATTTTTTTTATCTACATGTTAAAAAAAGAAGAAATAGACAAGCATAAGGCTTTGAATATTAGAGGCAAATGTGATGTTCTTCACTTTCTCTACATTTGCTAAGATAAATATTGTGGTTAGCATGTCTGCTGCTGGGTGGATTAGCGAAGGCAGCAACCTACTCCTTCCCAATATTTTTTTTTTTTCGTTTTCCAACCCAATCAAATTCTTTCAACTTTGGGTTACAGCTAAGTCTAAATTGCTGGGTTTAAAGTTTAAGTAAATATATAGGCTAGGCAATAGAATTTCCAGTGAGATTTTTGCACATCATTTTTGAGGTGTGTCTAAAGAAAAAGGCCCACTGCTCTCCTCTTTCTTAGCTCTTCAGCTCTAACCTTGATGGACATAGGGAATATATTTGATATAGAGAATATTTGCCTAGCCATTCACATTTTGGCCCAGGTGTAATTTAACCCTCAGGGTTTTTGTTAACTTTTTTGAAAAAAAAAAAAAGATTTATTTATTTATTTATTTATTTATTTATTTACTTTTCGAGACAGGGTTTCTCTGTATTGCTTTGGAGGTTGTCCTGGAACTTGCTCTGTAGACCAGGCTGGCCTCAAACTCACAGAGATCTGCCTGCCTCTGCCTCCTGAGTGCTGGGATTAAAGGCATGCGCCACCAGTGCCTGGTTGAATAAAAGATTTTTATATGCTGTTTTGACCATGTTTTTCTTCTTCACCAGTTCTTCTCAGATCCTCCCCCTCTCCCTACCCATCCAAATTTATGTTCCTTTCCTTTCTCTCACTCTCTTTAAAGCAAAATATAAAACAAACAACAACACAAGAAACACACACAAACACACGAAAGCAGAAGATAAAAAAAGCAAAAGACAAATAGGACAAAAAATGCCCCAAACAAAGTGAAGTGAGAGGAAAGATCTACAAAAATGCCATTGAGTTTGTTTTGTGTTGCCCAGATATTCCTGGGTGTGGGGCCTGCCCTGAGTATGATTTATAGACCCAGTGAGACTCCATTGGAGAAAACCTCTTTTTTTTCCTTTGCCAATGGGTATCAGTTGCAGATAGCTTCTTGGTTAGAGTGGGAGCCTATCTCTCAATGATGGGACCCTGTCTGGTTTAAACCTGTGCAGGCCTTGTGCATGCTGTCAGTCACTGTGAGTTCATATGTGCATCAGTCCTGTTGTGTCTCGAAGACACTGTTTCTTTGGAGTTATCCATCACCTTTGTCATAATCTTTCTGCCTCCTTGAGGAGAGGGCTTCGATGACAATATCCCATTGAGGATTTAGTGCACCAAAGTCTTTAACTCTCTACATATTGGCCAGTTGTGGGTCTTAGTTGTGGGTATTATTAGTTCCCATCTGCAGCAAGAAGAAGCTTCTCTGATAAGTGTTGAGTGAACCACTGATCTATCAGTATAGCAGTATGTCATTTGGAATCGTTTTATTACTGTACTCCTTTAGCAAGACAATAGTATGTGGTTTTCCCCTAGACCTATGGTATATGTATTTTCAGCTTCTTGGCCACCTTAGCAGTGTCAGATACAGATTCCATCTCATTGAGTGGGCCTTAAAGCCAATCAGAAAGTAGTTGGTTAAAACTATAACATTTGTGCCACTATTGTGCCACTATATCTTGTAGGTCACTGTTGTAGGTTGTAGAGTTTATGACTGAGTGATATTGATGACTACTATTCATTCTCCTCTAGTAGAGTACAGAGTCCTTTCCAATACCATGAATACTAGTTAGTGGGGTGAAGCTTCTAGATAGATATCATCTAAAAAATATCTGGGATAACTCTAACCAAGCCAAACCAAGCAAATGGAAAACATGTACAATAAAAAAAATTAAGACACTGAAGAAAGAATTGAAGAAGACACCAGAAGATGGAAAGGTCTCCTATGCTCATAGATTAATAGGATTAATATTGTGAAAATGGTCACCCTATGTCTTAGTTACCTTTTTATTGCTCTTAAGAGACACCATGGCCAAGGCATCTTATAAAAGGAAGCAATTAATGTGGGGCTCATGGTTTCAAGGGGTGGTAGATTCCATGGCCATCATGGCAGGGAGCATGGCAACAGACATTGTGCTAGAGCAGAAGCTAAGAGCTTACATGTTGAGACAACTATATGGTAGAAAGAGAGACAACTGGAATGGTGTGGGCTTTTTGAAACTTCACCCAACCCCAGTGACCTTCTTCAACAAGACCACAATTTCTAATCCTTCCCAAACAGTTCTACCAACTGTTCAAACTCAGTAACAGATTCAATGTAATTCTCATCAAAATGCCAACACAATTCTTCTCAGAAATTCTTAGTCACCTTCAGGTCTGAATTAACATCAGGACTGCCCTCCACCCCCAATTCATATTGTGACTATTACAATCCTTAGTGGGCAGGGTGGAGATAGCTGTGCATGTTAGGATGGTTCGTTCACTCAGAAGGAGCAGCAGGGAAGAGGGGCAATAGCTCCCTTAATTGAACTCTGCACTGGGATAGAGATGTCAAGTCTTAGGGAACCATTATATAAATGAACCCTTCTGCTGTGGCCAGTTCAGGCCTGGCTTCAGTCAAACCTAACACTACACACCTTTGCCACTGGTGTAGAGGCATCCCTCTGCTTACACCTCTCTTGATGTTTACTGTGGGCAAAAACAAGTCAGTATACTTACAGAACCTGTGACACTGGGGATCACTCTCTTCTTTGGGCTGGATTGGAGTTCATTTGGTGGACTTACCAGGGTACCTGGCTCCACTCTTTGTCTTTCATAAATTTGGGGGTTTTCCCCCATAAATCATATTCTTCTGGTTTCATTGAATGATAGGTGACATTTCTGATCTGCCTGCTACAGTCACGAGATTATCTACTGCATCCAAGGGTATGATGTTCCATTTAGAATATAAAAGGATAAAGAAAGGAAACCCCCGTGCAGGTTGAGCCCTGGACTAGACCTGGAGATTTCTTGCTCTGACATTGTGTCTTCCTGCTTCAGCAGGGTCATCCCAACGTCCATCTGTCTGACCTTACAGTTAGCAGAGAATCAGAGTTTGCAGGACTTCATAAGAATCCTTTTGTGAAGATGATGGTGCCACGGTGCCCTTAAAACCCATTACCAAATGCCACTCATGTCCAAGGAATGGGGACTGTGCTAAGTGTGTCACATGGGTCCTCTCCAGTTTCTCATCATAGCCAATAAGAAGGTGCTCTCATCCTCATTTTGCAAAATTAAGAAAAATGAAGTTTAGATTGGTAATTTAGCTACATCACAAAGCTGCACATGGCAGAGATGGTGGTGAGCTTGGGCCATTGGATCTGAAGCCTGTCTGTCCCTTTGCACTGAGCCTGCCAGTCTAGTCCATATTTTCAGATCTCCAATCTGGAATTATGTAGAAGAGCTAGATGCATGTCAGAGACTCAGTGAAAGTGAGCTGTTTTGGAAGCACTGTTCTCTCTCCTTTGTGCCCAAAATCTCCATTCTGCCTTGTCTGTCTGTCCTAATGTTTTTAAATACAGCCTTTCTAGGGTTAAAATCACACACAGATTGCCTGTGTTCAGGGCTCTGCTCCTGCACTCCAGTCTGTCTGCCTAGCAGGAGTGCCACTAGGACTGCCCTTCTCCAGAACAGGTGAAGAGAGGGCAGAATTCTCTTCCACCCTGCCTCGGGATGGCAATGTCCATGCACCATTTAAGTAGAGGCTCCTCTGGTCAAAGCTGAATTGGCTACCCAGATTCCATCTAGAACCAGGGAAAGTGACTGTGTGTTTTGAATAGCTGTGACTCATTCTGGGCCTCCATCTGTACCCCATATCATCCTCCTTGGCTTTCATCACTCTCTAAAATTTCCCCATCAAAGACTTTACAGGGGCAAGTTAGCTCTTTATGGACATCGTCTCGAGTGATTCTTTGGATATATATAGGTAAAGAATGTGGAAATGCCTGTGGGGTGAACAAGCTGTACACACTCCCAAGTGAAAGTCCAGATTCCACCCGACGCAGAGGCGTGTTTCCACTTAGCTGGAGCAGCTAGCTGCTTTCCTGTACAGAGAGGTAAATGGAGCTGTTTGTTGCTTTGTGGAATTAACAGGGCCAGAGTTCCATGGCTTTAGTTTCATTAGTCTGTGAGGCGTTTTCGGTTCCATAGCAGGGGTTCTCCCTACCTAGAAGTAGGCACAGTGAGCCAGAAGCATAATCTTAGCACTCAAGTGGCTGAGGCAGGAGCATCACAAGTTTGAGACCAGCTTTGGCTCCATGGTAACAGTGTCTCAAAGAACAAACAGAAGAGTAGGCATGGGAAGCTGAACTGTGGCTGTGCCACTGGATGGTCAGGGTGGTTGGTGTGTTAAATCTGAAGTGAACCACCTTGCTACCACTAACTATGACTCAGAAAAACACTTTGTCTTGCTAATAAACTGAGAATTCCAGGGGAACACATAACTAACAGTTGGTGAATGCCTGCCATCTGCCAGCACTGTGGCTGTGGCCCACTGGTTGATGAAGCATGCTAAAATGACACAGACTAGGGTGACATCAGAAAAACCACAAGATTCAACAGGAGGCTGTCAGGCATTGGTACTGAACTTGCTGGAAAACTGGCCAGGGCTTCAGTGGCACTCACCTGAAGCTACCCCTGTGGAGAGCCTTGGCTGAGCTACAGCTGGGCATCCCCAGAAGCTGAGGAATGCTCCTCAGGCCTGCCACTCATACTTACTGCCCACTTGTAGACTACTATAGAAGCAAGAAGTCAAAGAGGCACACCAGAACCAGTGAGGCTTCCTTCCTGTGAAGCCAGCTCCTTGCCTTCTCCTGATGTAGCATACCATCGTGCCAGTATGTTCACAGGGCCCAGCTCTGCTGTCACAGATCAGGGCACAAAGACTGAATTTGAAGCTGTGAGGCAGAAACCTAAGTGACAAATCATTTCTTTAAGCATGTTTTACAAACCCTGGACCTAGAAGCCCGTGCCATCCTCCAGACTCCAGACATGCTGGTCAGGGTTGTTGTTCCTGTTATATAGTGTGGTACCCAAATGAGTAGGGTACCCTGTGCATCCCTGGGGTCTTGGAGGAGTTGAGAGGGTAAAATTGCTTTTGAGTTTTTCTCTTCTTTTCCCATCTCTCCTTTCTCACAGTGGATGGCAAAGTTTTCCACAACCTACATGAGATGGCATTGCTGCTCTGCCAGCTAATGGCATGTGTACATGTGTTTTACAGTTTCCTATTTTAATTTACAGCATAGTGAGTAGTGTGTGTTTGCATGTATGTGTTTGTATAAATGCTTACATGTGTACATCCATGTACATTCAACTCCTTAGGGATTCTTGATACTTTTAAGAACATATGACAATTCTGAAGCCACAAGGTTTGAGACCCTGTTAGCTAAGGCTGGATGGCCTTCTTTGTTGTAGGTTTTTCTTCAGGTTTATGAGGATCTGAGATTTAGTAGCTATATGACAGGGATTTTATTTGTCTTAAGTAGGGAATCTGATGCGAACAAGAATCAGAATGATTTTTGGATCTTCAGAGATTTATCCCAGGTTTAGAGAAACAGAACTCTCACACTGAAGTGGATTATGGCACAGGTCATATTTGGTCTTTGTTGTTAATAGACTTAAATACTAGCCTTATTGTTTCTTACCTGTGTAATACTGGACAAGTCACCACCTCCCAGAGGTGTGTAGACACTACTTTGACAATAGTTTCTGACCAGTGGAATGCCATAAAGTGTATTGGATGATGCCACATCTCTGAGAGATCTAGCTATGGCCACTGAGCAATAAAGTCCCACACTCTGCTGACTCCTGAGAAGGGACTTCCTCAATATCTCACAGAAAACTGGCAAGATGGCTCAGAGGAGAGAAGCATGTTTGCACAGCACCAGACAACCAGTTCAGTTCTTGGATCCCATACATTCAGTGTGATGTGTACACGCATACATGCATACACATCCACTAAATACATAAGAAAGCCAAGAGGCTTTAAAAAACTAATAGAAAAGGCAGAACTCTCATTCATATGCCCACATATTTATCCCCAAATGCTTGTTGATAATGTGCCTTTTAAACAGATGATTTAGGAGTTGGCCACTTAATGCCCTGCACCATAGGCTTATTTAAAACTGGAGATATCTAACCTAACTACATGGCCTCTCTGTTACATTGGCCCTTTCTAAGACCCCTGGGAGCACCCAGCAATGAGTTACGTGTTTGTATTATTCTATTCTGTTATATTCTGCAGAGCTCAGATGCTCAGCATTTGGTCAGACCAGCTTTTCCCTTTGACTTTCCTCCATCTTGCTGCTTCTTCAGTTTGGTGATTTAGGAGTAGCTGAGACTAGATCTTCCCGGGATCATACGGCAGACTTTGGGGAAGCAGCACACTTAGCTTTCCTGTTCTCACCTAACAAATGTGTGAAGAACCTGGGGTCTGTCGACATCGGTACCATATTGACCAACAAAGCATTGACTTCATGCTTTGCTAAATGCAGCCTCTACAAGAGTGACCCTGCAGCTGATTTGCTCCAGTCATTTCACAGTAAATTGGGGGCAGGACAAGGAGAGTCACGGGTTGTTGTTTTTCCATATACTAGGAAATCCCACATAATCAGACCTAGAAATCTGAGACTTGCTCTATAAATTGGTCGTGCTGAGAAGTCAAACTTGGTAAGTCAAGGGGAAAGGGTGAAGTGTTGAGTTAGGAAAGCAGCACTCAGCCAGGGCCACTGCTGTCCTCCACTGGTGGGCTCCACCCCCTACTGATTGCCATGGTTGTGCAGAGGATGGCAGGCATCCTCAGGCAGGAGCTGAGTTTCCTAGCAGACCTTGAGGCCAGTTTTGAGCTGAGCGCACTGGTGGAAAAGCACTTTGCAGAGTGTCTGCCAGGAGAGGTAAAGTTTAGGCAGGAAAGGTCCTGAGACTGGTGACCTGGACTTTCTGTCCTTGTAGCCCCAGTTAGGAGTTGGACCCAATTGAGAATAGGTAGTGCCATAAAGGTTTGAGGAGGATGGTGCATTGATGGGAGCCTCCCCTCCAAAAACTGGTACCTCTGCACTTAAGAGTCCCTGGCAGAAGCTACCCCTCCCTGTGATAGAACAGGATGCTCTGACTCCTCACAGAGCTAGGTGAGTAGTAAAGAGTTTCTTTTATTCTTCATCCAGAATCTCTCTGGCCCAAAATTCGTGTTCCCTTGAAAGTTGTAAGGACTGCAGAAAACAAGCTGAGTAATCGTTTCTTCCCGTATGATGAAATTGAGACAGAGGCTGTCCTGGCCATCGATGATGACATCATCATGCTGACCTCCGATGAGCTGCAGTTTGGTTATGAGGTAAGGCTCTTTTCAGCAGTTCACTGAAAGGCTAGGTGTTTCATTCTCTAGAGCTATGATTGCTAAACTGTTCATCATGTGCCTGAGAGTGGGATGTAAAGCTATCTTCAAAGTCCTGGGGAAGCCTGGTGTCCCAGTGACAACTGTACCCAGATTTGGGAACTCCCAATGAGAGTCCCAGGGGATATTTTCTAAAACCTGTCTATAGCATTGGACAATCTACTCGATGTTTCCAAGCATAGCATTCCTGTACCCTTGGCTACCTGCCTCCACAGCAGTAAAAACATTAAGTCCAGAAGTGGCGGTATTGGCAAGCATTTGGAAAGCAGCCTGCCTACGGATGGCTTGCTCTCTGAGCTCTGTATGGACAGACTGTCTGCTTGTCTCTGTCACTGCTCCTTTGGGGCAGCTGATGGATTAGGTTGAGTTCAGGGGTTAAGCATGGAGACCAGGAAAGGTCTCCCTGGGGGAAAGTGCCAGAGTTGAAACTTGGCGCACACAGTGGGAGCTGATGAGCCTGTCAGGGTGGATATGTGTGAGATGCACTGGCGACAGCGAAGGCCTATGCTGCAGGGGTCACCAAGGTATGACAAAGCCCAGTAGAGTATACAAATCTCTTAGCTCCTTCTGGCAGTGCTGAGATTTATCCCATGGTCACACTGCCTTTATAGAAGAGGAACCATTTTCTTTGGTTTTCTCAGGACCTGTTGGATTTAGGGTTCTTAAGAAATGAAAATTAAGACAGCATGATAATGCACATCTTTAATTTTGGTGGAGGAAGAGTTAGGGAGGCAGAGGCAGGAGGACCTCTGAGTTTGAGGCTAGTTTGATCTACACAGCAAGTTAGGGGCAGCCAGAGCCACACAGTGAGAACCTTTAAAAAAAAATGAAAATCTATCCAATGCAGCCATATTTTTTGCATAGGTGTTTATTACATAAATTCCTTTGAGTCCTTAAAGATTGATTTAAGAGGGAAGAAAGATGAACCCACACATATACTACCAAAAATTAAAGGCTAGGTTTTCCCCATTTGTGTTGCTTTTAAATATAGTCCCATTTGAGGGTGAGAGAAAGCCATTCTGGCACAGATTAACTTGTGACCCTCTGGTCAGGTGTTTGGCCAGTGAGAAACAGTGGAGTATCCAGCAGAGTCTGCATTCTTTCATCTTTTGGATTTACTTTCATTTGTAGGAAGTGGCTTAGGTCATTTTACCTAGGATATGAATGACATTTACTGTACCACTGGCCAGTTTTATGTTACTTTGATACAAGCTTAGTGTCATTTTGGAAGAGAAAACCTTGATTGAAAAAAGGTCCCACCAGATTGGCATGTGATCTAGCCTTTGGTGCATTTTCTTGGCTAATGATTTGATTTGGGAGGGCTCAAATCACTGTGGGATGTGCCACCCCTGGACTCTTGGTCCTGCATGCTGTAATAAAGCAGGCTGAGCAAGCCGGGAGGAACAAGCCAGTAATAGCAGCACCCTTCCATGGCCTCTGCATCAACTCCTTCCCTGACTTCCCTGGTTGATGGACTACAAGTTGTAAAATGAAATAAATGCTTTCGTCCCCAAGTTGCCTTTGATCATGGTGTTTCATCACAGCAGTAGAAACCCCAAGACACCATCTTTCCTACTTTTGTAGAAGGAGAATTGTAAAGTGTTTCTCTAGGCAAGCCAAGGTAGAAGGGCCTCTTCATTGGTACAGCAGTTCCAAACTGTATCTGTTTGCTCAGTTTCTTGGCAAAAGCGAAGTAGGAACAAAGATATTCAAAGATAATGCCCAGATAGTCACTATCTGGTCACTATCTCTGGTTACTGTGAAGGAGGTCTAGTCAAGAAGGCTGAGCTAAATGCATTCCTGAGAACTCTTTCAAACTTTAGATGAAACCTGATTCTCAGCTTATTCCTTCATACAATGGCAGTGAGTTTGCCCCCTCCCAGGATAAACATTCATAGTGCCCGCCACGAAGACAGCTCAGGAAGCACTTGGCAGAAGCCACAGTAGAACCACTACCCTTACTATAGCTGCAGTCCTCTTCATGATTCTCCAGTGGTTCTCCTGGGGCTTCTGAGACTTACTATCTCTGTTGAGAGTATTTCTGTGGTGAGGGTACTCAGCTGAGTGTGGTTTCAGAAGATGGAGAACACTGTACTTCCAAAGTGAATTATTTGCTGTGCAGCAATTAGCAGCCTCAACTAAGTTATAAATAAGTTAATGAAAATTGGCATCCTAGGGGAATTGTATCAGAGTCCAGAACCGAGCAGAGTCTGTTGGGATTATGGTTTTGTTAGTTTCTACTCTTCCTCTCACCTGAAAGCTCAGGCGTGGCTGTTTCAAAGAAGCTTCCAGTCCCAGGCTAAGTGAGCTTCAGAAGGCTTAGTACCTCTTAAAACAAAACAAAACAAAACAACAACAACAACAAAAAAAAAAAACAAGGAAGTCATTACCTCAGAGATTTTCTGTTTAGTGCCCAGTTTTCCTTCTAGAATGTGAGCACCAGGGTCAGAACCATGGCTGTCTCATTCCTTGGCGTACTCTCCATGCCTAGTCCAATTTATTGAGCTCAGCAGTTACTCAGTGATGTTTGATGAATAACTTATCTCCGTTGCCAAAGTGCATGTGCACACAATAAGGCATGGACCTTTAGCTTCTGCTCTGTGCTGGTTCATAATCTGGATGCAGTGGTATGATAAAACAGTTTGAAATGTTAAAAATATATAAATGTTAAGCACACAATCACACACACACACACACACACACACACAGAGAGAGAGAGAGAGAGAGAGAGAGCGAGAGAGAGAGAGAGAGAGAGAGGAGACTATAACAGAATACCTGAGGCAGACTGGCTTTACACTATATTTATTTGGTTTTTGTTTTGTTTTGTTTTGTTTTTAAGGGGGCATTTTGTTTTTCTTTGTTTTGTTTGATATGTGCTCTCATGTGCTCCAGGCTGGCCTCAAACTTACTACCTGGTAGAGGATGACTTTAACTTCTGATCCTTCCGCCTCTACCTCCCGAGTTCTGGGAACATAGCTATGCACCACCACACCTGGCTAAATGGCTTTATAAAACAGAAATTCAGCTTCCAGTTCTAGACTCAAAGGCAGGTGCCAGCATTGGCTTGCCTCTAGCAAGGACCTTATGATTGATGCTGCAGTGGGAGGAGCATGTATGGAAGAAGAGATCACATGTCAAAACAGGAAGTCAAAGAGCAGTTCAGGGGTCAGGTCTTATAGCAGCTCATCTCCGCAGAGCTTTGGGACCCATCAGAGTTCCTTTAATTCCTTCTGATGACTGTGCCCCCATTGACCCCAGGACCTCCCACCAAGCCCTGTCTCTTAAAGTTCCCATATCACCCCTGCATTGTTAAATTGAGGGCCAGGACTCTACCATGTGAACCTTAGGGGACATACCACATCCAAGCCATAGCAGCTCTTGCCATGTCATACCAGCAGTCTTCCCACAGCATCTAAGGTCTAGAGTAATAAGAACCCATGTCTATGCTAATGCCTCTACACTGACATTCACTGATATTCACGGAAGCTTTGGAAGCTTTATTTGGTATAGCCAGAACCTGAAGGGAAACAAAACCAGTATCTATCAGTCAGTCCAATGGGTAAGTGAACAGCAGCATATCCTCCACTAGGAGTTGACTAAACAGTAGTTAGGATTTGAAGTGGGGAGGAGGAGCTAGGAGGTATTGCAGTGCTGAAGATCAAACCCAGATCCAGGCCAACACTCTACCAGGTATCTATATCCCTAACCCTCAATAATACTAATTAAAAAAAAGAATGAACTGTTGATATGTGCAACAATGTAGGTACTTTCCAGAATATAATATTATGCTGAGTTAATGAAGTAAGATGAAGGAGAGAACAGAGTTTATGAATTCGTATGTATGAAATTCTAGAAAATGCAGTGTGGGACAGAAGCTCAGTGGTTGCTTTCTCTGATCCCCGGTGCTAAGGTTGCAGGCATGTGCAGCCAGAAATAGTTTTTGTTTGTTTGTCTTATGTAAGTGTTGGGGATCCAAACTCACATCCTCATGCTTGCAGAACAATCACTTTTACCTGCTGAGCCATATACCTAGATTTCTAAAATTTAAATGGGAATACAATAGCCTTGCAAAAAAATTTTTTTGGTTGCAGCACTTACACTACCTTGTTTTAAGACTTACCATAAAGTTACAAGACACTGGTATTGATTCAGATTTAGTGAGACAGAATTTAGAGTTAAGAAATGGACCACTGTCATATGAACAGTCTTGGGGAGACAAGAAACATCTGTTCACCCCAGATGGGACTCCAACAGACCTAGGAAAGCATTCCATTTAAGTCTTATCTCAGTGATCCAATGAATTTATTTATGGTTACTTACAGTAGTGTGGAAAACTTTCCAGTACTATACTAAAGGAGAAAATATCACACTGCCCTGGCAATCATTAACTGCCTATCTATTGTTGTGGAAGAGGACAGGCCTCATGAATCTCTCTCTTTCTCCATGATGGAATGTTAGTCAGTCCAGTCTTGTGTGGCATCATTACAGCTGCTTTGAGCTCAAGAGGATACAGCCAGAGGACAATGCTTAGCGCATATGTCTAGCTAATTGTCAACAGAAGAACCAGATCATTCATTCACTGCAGATGATAAGGTCTTTTCACTCAGTGATTTTGTAACATTTTCTTATCCATATTTTCAAAATGACCATACCATCTACTATAGGTAAACATCTAACTCACAGCCAGGTATACCTCACACCTGTAATCACAGCACTGGGCTGAGGCAGATTACAAGCTTGAACCCAGCATGGCTTAGGGAAAATTCATATCACTAAATTACTGGATTAAAAAAGAATAAAAGCCTGAAGCTAGTGATGAAAAAGAAGCTGGGAAAAAAGTAAAACTTGAGGCAAGTGAGAAAAAGGAAAGGATAAAGGCAAGCAAGTGTTAAAAACAGTGAAGTAGAAAACTGACCAACAGAGGAAATTAACATGTCCAA